TATATATCCAAATATCGATTTACATACCGGCATGTAACAAATTATCATGCTATCACGAAAATCATTTAGTCAAATATTCACGTATAAATTTACCTTGGGTAATAACCAGGATCTGGTTATCACATTAAAAATCAAAATTTATAGTACACTTATTTGATGTTCACTCAATTGCATTTTTGATTTTTAATAAAATTATGTTACAAAACAATGTTTACACGTTAAATTAGATACAATTTCTACATACACATCATAATAATAAAGTAGTATCAATGGTATTATATAATTACACAAATTAAATAAAATTATTTGATTATAGAGGCCTACTTTATTTACCTTCAAATATAGAGTCCAACATTTTTATCCTTCATCTTTTTAGTATTTTAGTGTTGGTTAGAGATGATGTAAGTGGAAAAAAAATCCACATGTAATTTTTTCATAAAATGAACACAAACAATATGTAAACTAATATCTCAAATAATAGTTTTTAATGAAAAACATAATGCAAAAAATTATTTTTTATATAAATTCTTACAAATTCGTAACTTTTTTGTGGTTCTTATTTGATTATCATCCCTTCTTAAACACATACACACACACACACACACACACACATATATATATATATATATATATATTTATATATATATAAACTTTTTAATATATAAATCTATAAAAACTTATTACAATCATTTATACATATAAACCAATTTATTTTACTTTTTTAATTTACGTTATATCTATCTCTTTCTTTTTCTCTTCATAATTTAAAATTTAGTGACGATAAATAATATTAATTAATTTACATTGACTTTGAACGTAAAAAATGGAACCTTTCTCTCCATGTGTGTGCGTGTGTATATATGTCATCAATATAATAATTTGAATATTAATGATAGTAAATAACATTTATTGATTAATATTTAAAAATATTTATTTATTGATTTGTACTTTGAAATTTGTATTAATGCATGTTTAAGTCCCAAAATACATATCCACAATTTTATAAATGTGTAATCATTGCACTTTTTAATTGATTAAAGGGCAAATTGCATGAAAAAGTAACATATTTTAACTTGATTCTTATTTTGGGTAACGTACTTTTAGAACTTTCATTTTGGTATCTAAGTTGTAAATTTTTAAACATTTAAGTACCCGGGTAACCAGTTGAAGCATTAAACGGTTACCGTGCTGATGTGGTATCAACTCAGTATTATTTGCTGAAGAATTAACCAGATACCTCATCACTCGCCATATCAACATGATAAC